TGGATGGATGGATGGATGGATGGGTGGATGGATGAATGAGTGGATGGTTGGACAATTTATGGGTAGATGTGCAGGGGGTGAATGAATGGGTATTGGGAAGATGGATGGATACACAGAGAAGTGAGTGATGGATGGATGATGGATGGATTGTTGGATAGGTGGAGAGTTGGTTGTGCAGATGTGTGGGTGGGTGGATGATTGATGGGTGTATGGTTGCATCGGTAGATGGCTTATTGACTGGATATGTGAGTAGATAGATGAGTGGTGGACAGATGGATCGATAGGTCAGTGAATGGATAACTGGTGGAAAAATTGGTGGGTAGATGAATGATGCGTGGATGGTTGGATGGGTGGATAGATGGATGTGTGATGAATGTGTGGCAGACAATTGATGATGGATGGCTGGATAGGCAGATGAGTGGATGGATGGATGTGGATGAGCAAATGGATGTTTGGATGTACGGATGGATCAGTGGAATGGGTGGATAGTTGTATAGGTAAATGAATGGATGATTGATGGATGGATGAGGGTGGTGGAGATGAATGATGAGTGAATGATTGATAGATAATGAATTGATTGGTTGATGGATGGATGGATGAACATGTATGTGGGTGGATGGATGGACAGATGAATGTACGAATGTAAGGATGTTTATGTGTTTGAGTATGTAGATGGATGGTTGGATAAATGGATGGGTGGATGGTTGGATAGGTAGATGAATGGATAATTAATAATGAGTTGATTGGTTGCTGGCTGGGTGGATTTGTATATGTGTTTGAGCAGATGGATGGATGGATGGATGGATGGATGGATGGATGGATGGATGGATGGATGAATGAATGGATGGGTGGATGGATGGATGGATGGCTGACTAGCTGGCTGGCTGGCTGGCTGGCTGGCTGGCTGGATAGATGGATGGATCGATCTAGAGATGGATGAAGAGTACAAAGGTGACCAATGCTGTGATGTTGGAACATAGTTACCTGCTCACTGTGGCCTCCCAATACTTGTCACATCCTGTCCCCCTTCCTCAGCACCCAGGTACATGAAGTACACTCTAGTCCCCGAGGGTCAGGCCTTTTCTCATGACCTCTCAAGACTGGCCTCTGCTTGGCAGCCTCCTTTGTTGGAGGCTTCCTCATGGGGACCACCATCCTGGGGTCTCTTGCCAAAGGAACCTTGAGCTTTCTTCTCACCCAGTGGCCATCGTTCAAGGATACCTTTAGGTACCCTAGACCATCATCTGATTCATTTTCTTAATTTATACCTGATTATGACGTACAGAAAAGGGAAGCCCAAATCCATCATGAGAAACATGAGGACATCACCTTCTCAAGAATGAGTACAACTTCTGTATCTTAACGCTAACATCTTTATCTCCCTCTCTGAGGATGCGGTGGTAGCTAATCTTTGCAACATCCTATTCTCTGTTCTTCACACAGCAAATAATACCATTCTCTCCAGAGGCACATCTCCTGAAAACATCCCTTGTTTTTGTCAGATGCCATCGAGTGGGCTCCGACTCCGTAGCAACTGTATGTTCTACAAATCTCAACGCCGCCATCCTCAATATCCTTAGCCATCCTCAATATCATTGTTCTGTTTGACGTGGTTGTTGAAGCCACTGTGCCGATCCATCTTGTAGAAGGCCTTCCTCTTTTTTTGCTGACTCTCCCAAGCATGATGTTCTTCTCATTTGCATACCCGCAAACAACATGTGGGGACCAGGTCTGACTTCCTCTTGCTTCACAAGGGGGAAGGGGAATCAAACTCAAAATCAGCCCAACGCTGGTTCCTATGAAGTGGAGGTCAGACATGCTCTCACCCTACAACCTTCTTGGCCCTATTCTGACACCAACCAGCCCCCCCCCACCCCCCACTCCCACACACAGCACTCTCTGCTTTAAATCTGGATTGGTTAATCCATTATAATAACCACACAGAACTCATAAAAATAATCCCAGTGATGGGGTTTATTAGGGAAATGAACAGTTCAGCATTAAGAAGACAAGAAAGAAAGAAAAGAACAAAATGGATGTCAGAAGAGACTCTGAAACTTGCTCTCTAGCATAGAGATGCTAAAGCAAA